GGGGTAGAGAGAGAGAGAAAGGGAGAGAGAGAAAGGGGGAGAGAGAGAAGGGGGGAGGAAGTGATTGTTTAAACAGGTGATTTCTTCGGACGAGCAGCTTCGACTGTTTAATCAATCTCTCAGAAATCCGATGTCTATCTTATCGCTGCTCTGAGCCGTTGCTTTAACTTATAATTTATGTTAAATCTGCAGTTACAAAAGTGTGTTAATCACTTGAAAAATCGAAACAGATGGCTGACGGCAGTAAAATCGGGATTATAAAGTATAGCTTTTTTTTAGAGCGTACGAGTAAGTGAATAAATGACAGCTGATATATATTGCAGATGTGGCACTTGATGAGGATGATGATGATGCTGATCACCTTTGTTTTAACACGTAAGAACGAGTTTTGTCACCTTATGTATGCCAGATTCTGAAACTAACGGGCATGTTCATTGAAACAAAAATAGCACCACTAATTAAATATTGGTCAAACCCAAGCTTGTTAGGGAACGTTTGGTAAAATGATAGCCTACCCATAAAGCTTGACTAGATTACTTTCTATTCGTGAGAGGCCAACGCCCACAGCCTTTGCTTCTCAATTAACCGTGCTGGGAATTATTTTTATCTGTAGGTCAGTTTTAGATTCAGTTTCTAAATATCGTTTGTTGCTCTGATCGATTTGATTTAATTAAAAGGGGAGAAAAGATTCAAAGAAAAATGGGTTTTTCAGGAGGTCAATATATCTTATTATTCGTATAAAAGTGATAGCTATTAGCAGCAGTTCTTTTTTGTAAGTGTTTAACCCTTAATTTGGCTTGTTCAACAGTTGAAAGAGCTCCTCAAAGTTTTAGTTTTAGTTAGAGTTTAAGACACAATAGATACGGTCATATAAGTGCCTAAGATTAGAGATGTTGCAAGGGAGTATCAAACACAAATCAGAAGGAGGAAAGATAATGACAATAGATGCTTGATAAGAAAAAAGTAGCAAACTACACCAGAACTCCCGCCAGCTGCCCACTACATCAAACTGTTAAAAGTCCTATGTTCTGAAGTTCGCGAAAGAAACCGAGTTTGTTCAAACTGAGCGACAATGATCGGAAATTTGACTAAAAGGAGACCACGTTAAATACGTTTGTTCTTGAGGGTTACCGCTCTAAGTTGGAAAATCATTGCTGTTTTGATAGACCCGTACACACCAGCCTGAGCAATATCGCCCATAGCCTAGTGGGGGATTAATTTGGTAATTTTGCTGGGCGATGGGGATCATTTGGGTAGTGATTGATGCTATGTAATGTTTCGCTCGGAAATACAAGTGGGAGGGCAGTATGAAAATTATAGTAGTCTCTTAACCCTTTGTAATCTGGGTTCCTGAGCCTTAAATGGGCTCCTCGGTAATTTTATTTATTTTGTTAGATTTACTTTTCTACAGCTCGTGTTTGTGTTGACCTTATCTATAAATTTATATCTGGGTTGTTTATTTGGATGAGGGGGGAGGGGGTTGTTTGTTATACCACTATGCTTATATTATTTATATATTATACATATATATATATATATAAATTTTTATATTTTTAAAATATATATATAATAATGAATATGAATGCTGCTGTTTCGTATTTGTGTTCTATTTCTGTAAACACGCGTCAAATTTAGGTTTGTGTGGCATACGGTATGACTCACACCAATATTTCGGTACGGAAGGTGTAAAGGTGGCAAAAGTGGGGCTGACTATAAACAGTTCGACAAGCACAGAACAGATAGATGGACAGTCAGACACACAGACAGAGTTTATTTTTTGCGGACAGCTGTGTCTTGACACGTCTTGTTTTACCAGATCTGCGCCGGAGTGTAGTGCGTAAAGAATATGTAAGTGTCACGACGCGGTGGAATCAGACGCCGTCAATTTTGTTGTGCATATGAAGTGAATGATATAATCTTAAAACCTATTTGTTCGCTCTGCTTTCGATTGAAAAAGTAGCCATCTATCTTAAATAGAAGTCACGATGTTTGCGATCGAAAGAGGTAAGGGTCCCAAGGATTCATTCAGAGGTAAAATTAGCGAGAAAAGGATCGGCAAAATTTGGTGACTTCCGAAGCTTGAAAGTCATTGGAAACTGCAAATGTACACCTTTTATGCCTCTTATCAACTTTTGTCTGTAAAAATCCACCCATGGGTGTGTTTTTGTAAGGGCATAAAAGGCAACAAGCAAAAAAAACCGATAAAAATTGCGAAACAGATAGAAAATGCCATTTCTTCAGTTTCATTATTTTGACGAGCGCCTGATTTCACCTCTAAGACGTAGTAGTAGTACAGGGTTTTACGGCGCTCGCAACTGCATAAGGTCATATGAGCGCGCTCTCTAAGACTTAAACTCTCCTCCAGTTGACAGGTATCTATCTATCTATCTATCTATCTATCTATCTATCTATCTATCTATCTATCTATCTATCTATCTATCTATCTATCTA